TAACCGACTGCGGACGATTTAGCAGCTTTAAGAAATTCCTTGGGGCAACTACACGCACCTTACAAGCGGTAGAAAAATTCAAGAGTTTAAGAAAGTCGGTTAAAGGACCCGACAACGCAGCCGAAAAGTCGGTTATGTGTTCCAACGAAGTTTTAGCAAAGTCGGTTAAAGGACCCGATAGCGCATTGGACATAGCGCTCTTGAAAAAAGCTGAATTATTAATTTGGAAGTTCGTTCAAGACGAGTGTTTTCATTCGGAAATAAAATGCTTGAAAGCAGGCAAAAGCGTTGAAAGAAGTTCACGATTAAGTAAATTATCTATGGAAATAGGAGAAGATAACTTACTCCGTTTAAATGGGCGTTTACCTTTCAAGTCTAATTTGACTGAGGAAAGTAGAAAATCTGTCGTATTAGACGGTAAACACGAAATCGTTAAAATGATGATTAGAGAAATTCATCATCATTTTGGACATGCCAATCACCAGACCGTGATGAATGAGGTGAACCAAAAATTTTATGTCTTGAACCTGCGTAATGTAGTACGAAGTGTGTCACATCATTGTCAGTGGTGCAGGACATACAGGTCAAAACCGCAGAACGTGCCACAAGGAAATATTCTTCTGGAGAGAATAGCTCACAATGAACCACCTTTTACATGCTCAGCCGTAGATTATTTCGGACCTATGAGTGTCTATAGGAAGGCGACACGAAAAACGTTGGGGTGTTTTATTTACGTGTCTGACCATCAGAGCAGTACACCTAGAATTAGCAGCCTCATTGACACCAGCGTCAATGATAATGGCATTGAGGCGATTTATCGCCAGAAGAGGAAAACCAGCCGTTATATACAGCGATAACGGGACAAATTTCAAAGCTGCGAATAAATAATTTTTGAAAGCATGCGAAGAATGCTATGAGGGCATGAAAAGTCATTTAAAAATATATTAAATGGAAATTTATACCTCCGGGAGCACCGCACATGGGTGGCGCCTGGGAGAGGTTAGTAAGATCAATTAAAATTGCGTTGACCGCTACGCTCAAAGAAAGGAGCCCGCGAGAGGAGGTTCTGCATACGTTGCTTTTAGAAGCAGAGAATACTGTAAATTTCAGACCTCTGGTAACATTCAGTATGGATAGTCCTGAAGAGGGTTTGACACCCAATCATTTTCTTCTGGGACGCTCATGTGGTGATCGACCACCTGGATTATTTTTAGAGCAACATCTGACGGGTCAACTGAATTGGAAATCTGCACAGAGGTTAGCCGACCATTTTTGGAGAAGATGGCTAAAAGAATACATGCCTACTTTAATACCTCGAACAGGTAATAACGGAAAGTTTATGGAGCCTAAAGAAGGTGATATTGTCTTGATAATAGATCATTCATTGCCACGAAATACGTGGCCGAAAGGTAAGATTAGTAGGACGCTACCGGAACCAGACGGTCACACTAGAGTGGTTGACGTCATTACTAGCACAGGTATCTTGAGGAGACCTACATCCAGAATAATAGTCCTGGTACCCGCGACGCCTCCCAAATGATGGTGCTGATGCACGGGGGGGGAGATTGTTGGCGACGCGCCTATAAGAATATTTCAATTTATTAGTTAACCGATTACGAATAGCTTCTAAAAAGCAAATTATCAAGCAACAATATTCCGATAAGAAAATGCTTAGTTGAATCTTAAAGAAATATCGAATTAATGATATGAAGGTCTTGTCGTTTATCGTTTTCTTAGTAATATCTCTTAATAAATTCATATAGGGAATTTTTAAGATATAAATTATGTTACCGGATTTGTTCCCCGGTTGAAATCATCTTTCCAATAATGTTAATTTAAAGAAATATTAAAATAAAGTTAGAGACCAGGATTTGTTCCCCGGTCGAGATGATCGCTGTGCATAAGTAGAATTAATGGAAATTAATTGCATAAGTATTGTCTTATATGAGTTTGATATGTTTTGTATGAAAACAAATGCCTATTTTCTATGATTGATTTATGAAAACATTCACTTATATTGTTTGATAAGAAACATGATAACTGATAAGAATCTGATTAGAAATAGTTTTCGGCGTTTGAGAATTGAGTAGAATCATTTATTCACCTAGTATTGTTGATATTAGTGTATACTAAACTTTCTATTTTTACTGATAGTCGATAGCCGTGCAAAAGTTAGTTGTTCAAATAGTGTGAGTCATAGACGCACGCTAGCCACGTACTTAGGAGGCCAAATATGTAGAAATTTAAATATTTGCAAATTTCAGCAATTTATGTAAAATAACTTATAAAACATTTCAGATTGATTGTACGCGTAAAAGAGGTGAATTCTGTGTTATTTTATGTGAAAATTCCTCTGAATAAGTGAAATAATGATAGTTTTGTATAAGAAATTTAAAAGTGTTTAAATAGTGAAATGTATAGAGAAAGTGTAAATTAAACAATTGTATTAGTTAAGATATGTATAATTTCAAGTGGAAAACATTGTTTTAACTTTCTATGTTAAATATTTAAGAAATTCCAACTTTGAACATGTGAGTAAAATAAGCATATTTTGTTAAATAAATAAAGGATTTTTTGTGATATGAAAATGTAATGTATATCGTAGTATAGATATTTTTTTGTGCTATCTTTATAAGTAAATTGTATAAATGTATGTCTTATACAAATAAAGTTATTGAGCAAACCGTGAGAGAGTGATAGTACAAATTGATGTAATTGAGTTGCGCAAGCGCACAAATGGCGCGGCTCACTTCCTCGTTTAGCTTCGAGGTAGTTCAGTAAATTGATTTTTCTTGCAAATCGTTCGGGAAAAGTGCAAAACCAGCAGTCAATAAGAAGAAGAAAGAAAAATTATAGGGAAGTGATAGGGAAAAGTAGTTACTCTCTCACGGAACGGTTTGAAGATAATTGCTGTTTTATTTCCAAGGAATTCTCCCCTTAAAGTGATACAGTCCATATCGAAGAATAAAGGCGTTGGGACCGGGACGACTTCGGAAGACCCGTAATCCCCACCTGAACCTATTTTCTGAAAAGGAAGAGGTTATCGCCCTTGTGTGTTACTCCGTTGCGGAGATCACATACGTTGTTCCCGAACCCAACGTAGGCGTTATAGGAGGCCGGATCGAGAGAAGCCTCGATTCCTCCCTTCTGTTTCTTAGTTAACGTTTGTCTGGTTCCTTTTCAATTATTCATTGTCAAATTCAATATTTCCGAAAGAAAAGTTGTCAACCGCTCTGATTTTTTATCAGCCAAGTTGATGTTGAAATCGTCAGCCAAGATAAGTGGAAATTTATTACCATTTGTATTTTACCAAGTATTTTCGATCCTTCTTCAGTGTACTCCAGTAAAGTGCGATGAATAAAATGCTCTACCTCGTCCAATTTTGGATTCGGAGAAATATAAATTGCTACCATGACTATGTGTAGGCCATTAATTTCTAAGTTTGCATAAGCATGCACAAATATCAAATGAGCGCCACGCATACGATTAGTCGCACGCACACCAACACCGTGCCGAAGTCCGCCGAACTGAAACGACGTTAGACGATGCACGGCTTTCAACGCCGCACCGCTGAGCCGGACGGAGTGGGGGGATGTTAGTTTTATTTTCGTTACGGAATTTCTTGATTTTTTTGCGCCCGAAGCAAATATGGGCAACCCTCCGGAAAGCGGGGGAGGGAGGTGGGGAATGCTCATAGCATACCACGCAGCCGGCTGCGTGGTTATGTGGAGACTTTTACCCACTAAACCCCTCCTTTTAGGGACTGGCTTAACGGTCTAACTAGAGATCTCTAAGCCGGTATACGGACGCGACCCTCCTTAGATTCTTGATTCGGTCGCCGCGCTCAAAGCCCGCGATAAAAGCTATGCAACAGCTTAAAAGTTCCTGTTACACAAGTTGTTTTAAACTCGAATACATTCCTGCACTTTTCGCATGGAGCTTAGTACTTTAAAGCAATAAAAAATACTAATCTACGAGTGTTGCAAATAAAAATATAAAGGTAAAAAATTACCTAGGCTCTCCATATTTGCATCTACTTCTCTCTAATTTCTCACTATGTGGTCGCTCCCACTCACGCGGTGTCTCTTGACTAAAAGAAAAATACTATACTACACATTTTCTTTGGTTTATGTTTATGTACAAATAAAAGGATGTATTAAAGTCTATAAACAATTAATTTATGGGCAGAGCATTACTCTCACTTGTGAGAGAATAAGACTGTGCTGTAGGTACTGCTGCAATGCGTGTTGGCGGACTTCACGCGTCCTCGTAATATTTATTATTCGGACATCATGTAGTTTTTCTCATAATGTTTTCCTTCTTCAGTTACAACAATTTATTATACGTACATTGTTAATTACGGCGAGCGCATATATCTGGATTGCAAAAAGTATGAAAGGTTTTAACGATGTATTGTTTATCACGCAGTGCCCGGACGACCGAGCTATGCAACTGAGCCAGACAATTTCAGCTCGTAGTGATTTTACATTCTCGAATCCCACACGGAGCAAATATTTGTACGGACTACAAGTAACTGTTTCGGGTCTGGATGTTCTAAAATCCTAATGTATAGGTAACGTTTTAATACGGACATCGGACAGTTAACCAGTGCTTTAATATCCTATTTAACGGTAACCGAAGATGGTAAAATGCGCAAACTTAGCTTCACAAAAGCCTTTTCACTATATATATATATATATATATATATATATATATATATATATATATATATGCCTTGTGTCAACATCATCATAATTGGATGTAAACAGCGATATTGACACATTATTCTACTACCTTGCTGTAAGCATGACGTGTGACGAAGAGAACCGTTTGGCTCGATTGCGTGGTATGTCAATGACAAAGGGGTGGAGCCTGGCTGAGCGTCTGGTTGTCTGATGGTGGAAAGGGAAAAAGTAAGTCGTGCAAGTCCTGCGTACACTTTCTCAAGCTTGACTAGCATAGGACACTTTATGCAGTGTGTGAATAAATATAATACTTACTCTCCTAATCCCAGGTCAAATACAGGTCTACTTGAGTGTTCATTCCTGGTACTGTTTTTCGTTTCGAATTCTTTAGTCAGCACTTTCTTCAACGTGTTTGTTGAATCAACGAACTTGCACATGCATTCATTTAGACTCTGCATTTTAACCAGTAACTCGTCTTTTTCATTTTCGTCTTTTGGTATTTCTATTAGTTTCTCTATGTCCCTTTTTATCATTCTACCGTTATTCTTCAACTCTGGAATATCGGACCACTTTAGATCGGTGTTAACACCGGCATGTCTTAGTATTTTTATTTTAGGCGTAATCGTTTCAATGATAAATTCACCTTCCTCTATGATATCATCTGGAGGCTTATAATACGGTTGTCTTATGCCATATACGTTTGAAATAGGTCTTTCGTCGTTTAGACCATCTTTTGTTTTTGCCATTACTAACTTGAGAAGGTTCTCAAGGCCTATTTTATGATCGTTCAGTAGATGCCTGTCTAGGATTGTTATACTGAAAAAAAAAAGAGATAATTATTATTAACCTATTAATTTAAAGAAAATACACAAAACGTTTTAATGTATGTGAATAATAAACTAGAATAAGCCGCTGGATATAAAGTTAACTAAAGACAACTCATCGAGTTAATAAATAATTGAGGTTCGTGATGGCAGCATAACAGAATAGATTACCCAGTTTTGATATGAGCAACACCTCGACAAAAATATGGTACTAAATCTATCGTAGCCTCGTCCAAGCTCCTAACTTTTAATACACTGGTGGTGAAAGAGGACACTGTATAATATACGAGACAGCTACTATGGTCAGATATCAAAAATCGTTCAAAGGAATATCAACATCACAACATCGCTCATCTGCCTACCAAGCTGGAGATTACGAAACCTAGATTTGTTGACATACTTAACTACTTAACTACCAAGCCTGATTATTAACGAAACTCCTAATTAAAAATATTGGTGGTAAGCGTAAAACTATACACAATTTTGTTCTTACCGATCAGCATCAAACGAGCATAAATGACATGCGTATGTTTCGATACGTGCTTCGTTCAAGGAAGTAACTACCGCGCTGCAGTCCGATATTGTCGATTCCACTTTCAATGCCTTAGATGTACATTCACTTTGTGCCGAGACATTCTGAAAATTTAATACATTTGAAATCACTGTTGGATATTAGACTAAAGTATATATACTAAAGTAAATATATTTGTTACAGGCAAATAAATATTCTCCAATATTTAAGAGGCTATTCAGCTATTCAGCGAGAAAGCGCAGTAGTGTTCTTGGCACGATACGACTGGGAGAATATTATGATGATTTAAGTTTTTAGTTTTATTTTTAAGGTACCTAATAAATATAGTATAAATTATTGCAATGTAAATAAAAGAGTAATTTAAAATATTTTTTTAACATTTATTCAAATCTTTTGTTGTGTAGAAGGGGTGTAACAGAAACCAAAGCGACTAGGTAGGTGGGCGTTTTTCAAAAAAATTGTCGGTGACGTAGTTAGAATTCCACTTATATGAGTTTTAACATTTAGCTTCAAAATGTAATTAAATTGATAAAATATAGTATGAGCAGTATGAAAATAGTATTTTTTTAAGAAAATAATAATGAATTTTGAAAATAATTACAATTTTAATTAAATTATGTTCTCAAGAAATTCCATTACGTTACTAATTTTAAAATAGTTTTCATGAAAACTAAAAAGAAGTTCAGTATTTTTAACTTTATTTATGAAAAATAAACACAATCTGTTTTCTAAAAAATATTGATAATTCAGCATATTAGATCTAATCAAAAAATGTTTTAACAAAGATATTCCTTACGCTACTTTTGGGTACTTTGTACTATATTTTTTTCATCCTAGAACGTCAAATATGAGAAATATTCTTTCAAAAGTTTAATTATATCAAATTAAAAATTTATAGTAAGCTATATTGAACAAAAACAGTCAAATTTCTTTGAGATCTATTAATTAGTCTTAGAAAATAAATCACAGTAATAATAGGACAGTGACGTTAATGTAATTCGAAAATAACGTTTAGGAACTATAAGGCAACGTCTATATGACTCTCAATTATGACAACAATTATGGTAACTTGTACTTATCGTATTAAACATAATATTACTAGTATGTCATTTAAGAGCGTTTAAAACGTACGGCATTTCATACAAACTTTCAAGTCCTTGTTTTCGAAATGCATGTACCGATTTTAATGAAACTTCACACGCATAAGCAGGACACATAGTTCTAAAAAAGTTAGTAAAGAACATTTTTGAAATGTCTTATTTAAAACAAGATAATTGGAAATATCTGTTTCTATGGAAAATTTAAAATCAGCTGAATCTAGCTGTAACATTATTTTTCGAAATAGTTCTCATTAACTTTTTGGACCTATATATCCTGCTTATGCATAGGAAGTTTCATTAAAATCGGTTCATTTATTTCGAAATATAAAGACTTGAAAGTTTGTATGAAATGCCGTACGTTGTAAACGGTCTTAAACTGTAACAAAAAACTATTCATCAGTCCCAAGACAAATCGAACAAAGGTTGAAAAGGTTGTTCCGCTACATATCAGGCAAACCCAATTTTTACATGCATTACATTTTACCATTCTTTGTATAACAAAAGGCTCATGGCAATTGTTATCTGAAACAGATACGAATGATTGGGATAGATTTTTCCAAAAAATTACATCACAATGTAAAGTGATCGTGTTTTTGGAGGCACCAAAGTGCATTGATTGGACTTCTTCACTATATTTACATTCAAAATTCTCTGAAAAGTCGCATAAAATGAGTATCTCGTCATCTTACATGTTCTTGATACAATTTCTGTATTGACGTTGTTGTTCAATCCAAAAGAAATGAGTTTTAAACGCCGGTAGCTCGTTCTGAAAGTTGGTGATGAAAGTACAGTTCCTTTTACTTGTTGTTTGGTGGTCTTTTTAGTTGTATATACTTTGCCAGATATTTCATATTCATGGTTTACCCTAGCCCATTTGAACCATGATATAGCAGAATCGAGGTTTTGTTCATCATATGAAATACTCTTACAATCTTTACATTTATTGTACATGCAGTCATAACGCGTAATATCACATGCAACGATGTTCAAGAGCTCCTTTATATTCTTGTAAGTTATGACATCTTTACACTTCAATGCATTAAACATGTACTCAAAGTTACTGTGCTTAATACATAAGCAGGTTTCTCTATTATTGATACTTGGAGACAGTACATAATAAGGCTTGTATCTGTAAAAGGTGGTGAAGCCGCATGACCCACCGTCTTTTTTATAAATTTCGTATACGTTTTTCAGTGTGTCGACTAAGTATCTTATTTGTGCTTTTTGTTTGTCTTTGGACCTGGTTTCCTTCTTACCAGCTGTGCTTTTACTTATGTAGTCTCTCAAATAAAAAAGTTCTATTTCTTCCTGAGTCTTCTTATTTATTGGTCGTTGTAAATTAATCCTTTTCCTGATTCTTTCTTTAAGACCTAAAATCTTACTTTCAGGTGCTTTTTACAATATATGCGCCTGTTTCCTAATCACGTTTTTAACTAATTGTTTTTCTTTATTTTTCTTACAATTCCTGTACGTACTACGAATTGATATTTCCATTATTTCTTGTCTTGCTTTCAATTTATCGTTTTCTGTGTTCAATAAATCAAATTCGGTTTCATGTTTTTTTTTTTCATTCGGCGTAATTTCTTTCTCAGAGTCTGTGTTGTTGTATTATATTGACGAATCGTCTTGAAAGCCTTTTTTGTAGTTATTTAACAATTTTCAGTACCTAATTTTCAATGAATGTGGAGCTGAATTATTGGATGCGTCACGTGATTGCCCTGATTGTGGATTCGGTTGAGTGTTTTTGTTTTCGTTTTTGTTCTCTCCAGAGTTTTCTTTTTTCCATTTTCTCGTCCTCAGTGAGCTTTTTTAATCCTCTTTTGGTGCTTTTTTTGTCTTCGTAATTCCTTCTTCTTAAATTCTTCATATTTTTCCGGGTTTTGTTTGATTTTTTCTCGGTACCGTTTTGACTTTTCTGCAGCCGTCAAGGGCATATTTAAACCTAAAATCAATAGTGAGTTATCATAATGTACCCCGTACGAAAAATCTCAAATTTTTGTGAAAAAATTTATATAGATTTACAAAAAGCGTTGCGTGAAATATTTGTCAAAATAAATGTGATAACTGTTTATCAAATATATTTTCACGCAAAAACAAAAAAATTTTCATTCAGGATACCATTAAAATTAAACACTAAATGCAGCCATTTCAACAATATAACGTAATAACTATCGTTATTTCACTGTTATTTTTCTAATGTTATCCTGAATGGAGTGTTTTGAGCTGAAATATCTAGTCGAAAAATCTTGTTTGATTTACACACGAAATTAAGTAATAAGCAATTCATTTAAAAAATTCAAGGCATTTTATTATTATTTTAATCATACTTAATTTATTTAGACTTTAGAACACTAATTAAAACAATGACTTTATGAACCGACCTTTAGGATTCCATTACGTCACTTTTGAGTTCCATTCATGCGATAGTAGCGCTAATGGAGGTAACGTAACCATGCCAATAAAATTTTCAAATGAATTTACTAATTAGTTATCAAACTTTTGTTCAATATAACTTAACATTTCAAATAACAATAAATTAACATGTTTAATAGAAAATAGAATGAAATACACATGAATACGTTACCTGGAGAAAAGCAGTATCGTTTGTGGAATTATTTTTTTTACATGAGTCGAGACGACCACTTCGATTACGTTTTGTTGGCGAACTGGCTGTCAAAAATTAAATACAGCAGCCACCATAGACTAATAATGTTGCTATATTTGGGAAAATGTATTGAATTGGTGGTATTTTTTGTTGGAAGTCGTTGAAAATGCGGTCACGTACGCGGAAATTCCATCATACGCGATTTTGCAGGACAACACAAAATCTGGTATTTTAAAATAATTTTCAACCGTAACATGTACATTTCAGGTTTAAAATTGAAGTTACGTTCATAAATGACCAGTCAAATGCAAAAAGTTTGAATAATAATATAACACGACCGTATTATGTGACTCTGAAGTTGACACAGTAGATGTGGGACATACCAAAAACATCGACCCCATTTTACTTATTTTGATTTTATTTTTGATTTATAACAGATTCAGACCTTATTTTTATTTGATTTATGAGACTATATGTTACTTTATTATTAAAATAAATGATATGTAATAAAAACTTTTATAATATTTGATAATTTATTCTGAAAGTGGCCGGACACTGACTTTTTTCAAGGTACAACTTTTTTGGAAAACGCCCAGGTACGACATTACAAGAAAGATCTCATGGTCCAGCTTAAACGAGATGTTTGTACCGGCATCTATCGGAAATTATAAAATCTTACTGGCATTTCCCATAGTCGCCTTTTACCGTTCCCACGGGACAACGTGGGGTGATGAGATACTTCTACACGAATACTCATACGATGCAATCGCAGGCCATCTTTACATGTTTTCATTTTTTTAATTTCCAAGATATGTCGTTCTTCTTTAATAATCATCGTTTTTTTCTAATGATAAACACAAGTTGGTAAATAAGTTATAAAAATAGCAATTAACAATTTCGGTGGTGTCGGTACAGCTTTGACTTAATTCGCTCGCATATAATATTCAACAAATACAAAATATATTAAGTTGAGCGCACATTCTTTGAACTTAATCTAGATGGCCGATTAAAGTAGTCGAAAGTTGCTTGATTACAATTTACAACATTGGCGTCAAATGGTAATTCGCCGCAATAGGTTGTTGAAGAGCGGAGTCCGCGATGATGGCGTTGAAAGTTAAAGTTAAAGTAGCACTGAAATAAGTTCGCTGTAATCTTTTCATTAACTTACATTGGTATTTAAGAGTGAGTCAACATGCTCTTCTGGATGCACGAAGAGTGTCCTACTACGGCATATTCGGGAACGTAACATATCGAACAGCCTCGTGGCCGACGACGTGCGACTCGGAACTGTCAAACATAAATAAGTTATATACAGGATTTTAGTGTTAACACCGTTATCCTTGAAACCAGTGGTTTGGTTTCACTTATAGAACGTAAATTCAATGAAAAATAACAACATTTTTTTTAGTAAAATCTCCATTTTTCCTTAAAACATTAATTTGGACTCGACACGCAACACAAAAGGTAGAAATTTTTGCCTGTCCTAAGCCAGGATGAAAGTTACATCACAGGTTACGTGTATCTATTGTGTTTTTATTGGAATGTTGTGCCAGGGCGGGCGGTGATCTTTAAAGTGATTACGTCACTCGGGCGCATAGGGTATCCACGAATTAATGATAAATGCAAATAAGTGATTTTCAGCTACAAATTATTATTTTTTCGACTATCTTCCTCTAGGCCAACATTTTTTTGGCGACTGTATCTCTAACTTTAACTCTGCTGAAGATCCGCTTAGCAACGTTCGAATTTTTTCCATGTGGATTTATTATGGAGTAGTGGCATTCTAACATGCGGTTCATCTGATGTTAAGTAACTACCGCCGCCTATGAACTATTTGCAGTTAAACAGGAGAATTGACAGGTGCGTTGACAGCTTTTTAAAAAGGGTCTCTTTTTTTAGGGTTTTGTTTCTCTTTTTTTGGTCTCTAAGTCATATCAGATCACCTCGATCTGTGCTCCTCCTTAACTATGCTCATGTCGCAATCTCAGCAACTGAAAGTACTCGTATAATGCATATAATGTAAGCGAACTACTTACGTTTTAAGGATTTCTTTTCATTATAGGGTGAACAAGGCTTTTCTCTTTTTCTAACGAAAGGTATTGTACTGGATTTACCCTAAAACAAAATGTTGTTATTGTCTAGAGTAGTTTAGTATCATCGTATATTTTCTTGTCTTATAAATTGTTTTTCTTTTGTCTTTCTTTTTTTTTAAAGAAAACGATAACTCTACACTAGGGTTACGGTAAGTGAGGGCAGTTTACATACATACATTTTACAAACACAAACATCAGATTCGGAACAATTATTTATAGGCCATACAAATATTTGTTCCTTGAGCGATTCAAACTCTTTTGAATTTCACGACACCAAAGCAAAACGAGTAAGATCTACAAAAATAGATACGAAAATGAAGGACAATATTTAGGAAATAGAAAAGGATAATAGTTAGTAGGCAAAATAGTAAGCTACCAATCGGCACAGGAACCAGGCAAAGAATTAACCGTATAACTCGTACGAATTAACTTGAGACCTGGGCCGATGACGTAATTGTCAATGTACGGTGTGCAAAATAATGCGTCGTAATATTTTTTTATTTGAAATTTTTGAGATTTGCATGAGATTATTAATAAAAACAAAATAAAATGTTCTGGCAAGGGGTGAAGTAATAAGTGATATACTGTTGCCATTTTTATATATTTTAAATATTTATTTTTTATAATATATATAATATTATTTTAGTTAACGCGTCAAGGAAGGACAAAGAAATAAACATACACACTTTCTCATTTATAATATTATTAATTTATTTATTATACTCTTTATTGCACTATAAAAAGTGTTACAGATTCGTACACAATAAAAATACAAAGCATAGCAGGCGACCTTATTGCTAAAAAGCAATCTCTCCCAGGCAACCTTAGGGTGAAAGTGAATCAATCTTGGATAAGCGGAACAGCACAAACTATGTAAAATCAAGGAATAGAAGTAAGGAATATTAATAAGGATTTATTATAATATTTATTATTCATTGTCACTGTATACGATCGGTTCTATTCCGTCTATTAGATCGTCCTCACTTTCACTCTCTGAGCTGGATTCTTCCCCTCCGAGGGATATAATTAATTCTCTCTGTTGGATTTCTCCAAGTCTATCACTCTCCCAGTATTCATTTTCTAATCTTTCGATATGGTTAATTTCTTTCTTCCAATCGGAAGCCGTTATAGACTGTATTGCGTCTCTTGTTAAACCCTCTATTTCCACTGCTGCCACCCTTTGTTTTATTAAGTTCCATATATATTCGATAGGGTTCAAATCACAATGGTAGGGTGGCAGCCGAAATACCTCGTGTCCATGCTCCCTCATGAGTTAGTCCACTATATATTTTTTCGGTGGTTTATTGAGCAGTATTATATGGTACAGTTCCGGTTTCGTCATTTTTTCATCAAAAGGAATGTTGTTTTTCCGAAGCCAACTCTTTTTTTTTATTTTTTTAATTTGAAAATTAATGAAGTATCATCAGCAAATAATACTATATCATGGTTATCCCCTACTATGTAAGGTAACTCTGCATCTCACCTTTCGGGGACGAGCTCACGGGTGGTTTTTCAGACTGCGTTGAGTGGTAGGGAGTAGGGAGGTAGCATTGTCTATAACGTCGAGACTGTTTTGAGGTAAGTTTGGGATTAGTTTTTCTGTCAACCACTTTTTAAAGTTTTTACTATCCATTTCGTGATGGTAGTCCCCGGCATTACTTTTGCATTTGTAAAGCAATTCGGCACCAGGGATAAAGCCGTTTTCACTGCCAGCGTGCACCAATATCCACCGCTGTCCTGGATTATCATTTTTTCTAATGCTTGCGTCATTGTTATTTTGCCAGCATTTGCGCACGGTATAGTGGGAGTGAATCCATGTTTCGTCTAAATAAGTTACGGGCTTTTCGTCCACCCCAAGTTCATTGTTTTCTTTCTTCATTCGTAAATAACGGGCTCTCCAGGCAGCAATGTCTGGCTTTTGTATTAAGACTTGTCTTGCGTTCTTACATTTTTTAAATTTGTACCCCAAGTAGTCAACGAGTATTCGTTGTAACGTGGTTTTTTCACCTGTAAAAAAAAGATTTTATTTTTAATTTTTAGTTATCGCGTGGTATTTTTTCAAAAAATAATTTAAAATGAAATATCTCAGAAATGGTTCACTTTTGCATATGGGTGTCCATACATAAAATTGTTGCAAATTACCAGTTCTAGCACCCCTAACAAGATTATGCTTGAATTAAATGTCACCTTGTATATGATATGACCTAAAGTATGATATATAATACATATAAAAAATGTCAATAAATATGGGTACGTACCTGGAAAATTTAGATCTGCTTTTACAGCCGTTAAAATCTTTTTCAATGTTGGAATTTCTTTCCGTACTGTATAGAAACTGTTGACAAGGTTTCTTAGAGCACACAGATCAAAATTGTCGAGTTCAATTTTTTTTGAGCTCTGTTTCCTTTTTTCCTGGAGTTGATAGTTTAAGTTCTGGTCTTGCTTGAGAAGTACATGGTTCAGATACTACTGTGACATCATCATTTTGGTCTTGAGAAATGGACTGAACTTTTTTCGCCTCGTTTTTCATTCTTAGTAGTGTTGCCTTTGATATGCCTGTTGCTGCACAAGCCCTCTTTAAAGCTTGGTCCACAGGAATAAGAAACTTTTTATTTGATTTTTCATCTTCGAAAAATTTTAAAACTTTTAGAGCAAGTGTCCGTGCTTGGCTATGTATTGTCTTTCCTCCCATCTTTTTTTAAAAATAAAAAAGGCGGAGTAACTCCTAAGCGTCACAAGAAAACGGCACAACACAACGTCCAAACTTAACAATAAAACAACGCAATTAACAACAAACAGATAAAATAACGTTCAAGTATAACAAAAGCAAACAAAACTCCAAATCAAACAACAAACAATTATCAAAAATATCGAACTAGAGTCGAGACGCGTATCCGTAACAAAAATGCTATCGGTACTGAGCGCGCACGGCCAGCGCGGGACGCGGTGCGGGGAGTCGGGAAGGGGGTCGCATTCCAGCGGAGTCTCAAGTTAATTCGTGCGTGTTGTACTTCCCCAGCACTTAATAATTCGGCGCGAGATCACAGGTGTATCACAGATGTAACGTTCGCTAAGTAAGACCGCGCTTCGTCCAATCATTATAATTGAGGTAAATGATTAAAAAAGGACATGCAAGGTAGGGAAAGAAGTACGCAAGCGTCCGTATGCAAAATATTCCAAAAGTTAGGTTTGTACTGAAAAGCAATTTCAAACACTTTTTTACTACGTGCTCAACGATGAAGGATGAACATCGTGAGGAAACTTGTATGTCTAATTAATTAAAAAGAAATGATAATATGTATATCGAACACACGTCATGTCCATCAACATGCAGGACGGAAGACTACTCTCTGCACCAAATACCCTGTCAATAATAACGGATCTTCTGGCCTAACCATAGCCACTGTGGCTACTTCCAAGTAAAATCGAATACTCTCAGTAAGGAACACGGCAAAAAAGGGCAGAAAACGGTGACCAGCGCGATATCTCCCGGTGACCTTTTGCATAGTTATCTGTTTACTCAGATGAACCTTTTTTTACTTCATCTGAGTCTGTTTATTGAATAATATCATAAATAGTTAATTTCGACGATCATGCGTATGTCATTTTCCCGTCGGGAATACTTATTTATTAAGTTATTATTAGTTCGGCATCTATGTTTGTGATAATAATATAATAATAGTATAATATACAAGCTGGTACCATGCGCGTTACTGCCACAAAAGAAAAATAATTATAGAGATATCGTTTTAAATTTGCAAGAATTATATTGTTTAATTAGGAATGATGATATGTACATTCATTCAAGTTGAATGACATAAAACTATCAAATAAATTTTTCAGTACGATACGCGCGCCACCTGCTGTAAGTTAGTAGTTAGTACTATGCCTAAACCGTCGCATAAGTGCAACCAATAAAATGACAAAGTTTTACCTCAATCTGATGAACGGTATGGAAGCGCATAAAATACGTAGAAAAAAAATATTTTTTATATATTAGATTAGATATGCCATCGCAAGAATGGATATTTACCTTTAATGTACCAAAGCCGGGAATATCACCAGCGGCTGACCCGTGGTGAAGTTGTCTGTGCATGGTCAGAGCGCTTTCGAACTGTGCCTTGAAGCTGCATTGCGAGCAGCTGTAAAACGTAGTATACGTGGTATAGATTCAGTATGATAAATCTCAAGTATAATCGAGAGGTGATTTATTGATAGCCGAGGATTTAAATAAGAATCTTTCTTCCAAAAAAAATTTCACCGCGATATACTCGTAGTAGGTCTGTACCATAGAATGCTATAATACAAAATAGAATGGCTGTCAATGTTATTTTGTACGACGATAGGCGACGCCGGGAGCACACATACAATTACGTCGTATTATCAGTTAATCACTGCTACAAACCCGATTCGCTGTGTTGATAGACGGATTTTAATACATATTTATTTGTAAATAGCGTGCAATTTGGCATTTTCTAAATAATTTGCCAGCGAAATTTGAAAACGCTTGTAACGTCAAAACACATCTCGGTTGACATTTATAAGTGTGAATTGACATGTTAGTGGCATTTTAGTGGCTACACGGGCTCCGCCCACTCCCCCGTTCTATTATGTATGTAAAATGTTTGACATTTGTTTATTCATTTTTTCATTACATTCCATACTTTATATATTATTTGGCGTATTTTCCACGGGACTCATTTCTAAACACGGACGCTAAACCTAAGATCAATTATTATAAACTATTATTTGTAATGAGTCGTGTAATGTTTATTATTTCTTTTTTTAAGTTCACTGTTGGGCAAAGGCCATACCAAGAAAGTGTCAGTATTACTTTGATAATTTTGCCATACACATAGCACCAGTTAGGTTTCTCCCACATCAGAAGCGATAGATGTAGTGCGTGGGTTGAATAGCGCAAAGCCTATATACCTTCACCACAATCTAACCACTCCTTAGATTGTGCCCTCGCGTTGGTGGTTATTCTTATTCTACCTGCACTGTGCTATGCCAGCCTTTCACCAGCTTTTTATGTTTGCATTACATATTAAAATATAGAAGTTTAATGAATTTTATCTTTTTTAAGCAATTATAAACCCGTACAGGATTACAAGAGATATGTCTTCCAAAAAGCTCCAACTGTTAAAGCTGAATACTGAGTGTGGCAACATCGTTTCCGTCGCGGAAGATGATATTTTGAATAAGATTGAAAGGTTCTATGGCATGTACACATCATCGTTGGAGTCACACGCAAGTGTGAGTAACGATCCAAGAGCAAGTCTTATCTGACACTATTCCGATGATATCCCGGACTTCAGTCTGAGAAAGATTAGAATGTCTCTCCAGCACTTTAAAAACAGCAAGGCCCCCAGGCGAGGATAGGATAACAGCAGAGTTTCTGAAAGCGGGTGCAAAACCGGTACTTAAAATCCTTTAGAAGCTCTTTAATTCCGTCCTCCGTGGTGGAACTACTCCGGAGACAGACTAGAGCAAAAATGCAGTGGTCTTGTTCTTCAAGAACAAGACGTGTCTGTTATTCGGCGACGATTATTCACCCCCTATAAGGAGCGCTGAGGATTGTCTCAAAGAGTTGAGCACGACATAAATGGAGTAGTAACTTGGAGTACGTAAGGAGAATCAATTGTAATTTAACACCTCAAAGTGCTTGACAATATCATTCACCCGCTCAAAAATACCTATAGTACAAAACTATGAGGTTGACAGTAAGCTTATGAAAAGAGTTACTAAAGTGCGAGATCTGGGTGTTCAAATGGATACCAGACTAAATTTTCACGTCATTAATATCAGCAAAAGGAAACTAGGGTTTGTTCTTCACTGAGTAAATAATTTCACAAACGTTAAAGCAATGATTGTATCATACAATGCCTTGGTCAGAAATCATTTGGAACACAATGCAATCGTTTGGTTCCCACATGAAGCTAAGTATACCTAAGCTTATGTTGGAGGGGATACAGATTGAATTTGTGAGATATCTGTATATAAAACTTTACGGCGTGTACCCACCCACTTTATCCCCTAAAGTATCCAACCTTATTTTTTTATTGTTGTTTAGTGTATTGTTTGTGCTTTGGTACTTACATTCGCAACTAACGCACTGCTTTACATAAATATTTAATTAATTTGTTAAAAGTCAAAAAAAATGTATATACATATTCGTCCATTATAGGAATGGTCAGATATAAGGAACTTAGGGTTAGGAGAGAACTTAATCTGGTTTTATATATTTATAATATTTGTAAGGTACTAATAGGGAAAATATTTACTTCTGACATAGGTACTAAAACAATTAAACATATACGTCCCGGACGGATAGATAGCGAGACGGCGACGGCCACAACTGTTTGCCGTGCCGAATGGAAGGACAAACCGAATACTTCAGGCGCCTCTGCCAATTGCTCTCTCCACATAGAATAGTTATAAAATAGTTAGATACACTATCGTATTAGGTTAACCTATAAAGATAGCTGTAAAAATAAATGCTGGCAAATTATTACAGCAATTTGTCTGCTAAATATGTGCTGTAATATAATTATGCATAATATGAAAATACTGTCGCGTTTTAAAGTTATAATCATTTTCGTCTTGAACAGTACAAAGCCCGGAACTATGAAAACTATCGTAAATTAAAAACCTTGTAAATTGAACATCTAGTTAGTTGGAATCTAGTGAACAGAGAACTTAAAATGCGACTACTATACTAGATTACTACGTTCACTAGATATATCTTGGCTTTTTCTATTCTGCCACGCGGGGAATTCAAAAGTTTGGTGATTTGTTCATAAAGTAAAAATTTGTAACATTAAAACTGTGGAAGTTCGTTATGACTTCGTCTTGTAAGATCTAGAAATCTAGCTGTGTAATATACTATTAGTAAGACTGTCCTTCAAATCCTATGATAGAATATTGCAAGTTTAATACTTACCAATGACTCATCTCAAGTATCGTTAGTAATATAAAACTAAAACATATCAATACAAAGCAATGGTTTAAACAAAACTGATTATTTGACAAGACGTTGACAGAAGGAAGAAATAAATAACCACCAAGGTTCTTTTACGTAAAAGGTCTTACGTCCTACAACTGACTCAGAAATAAAAGAATAAGAGTTGGTCAATATAAAATTCTACCGCTAGTAATATCAGCTCTTAATCGATTATATTTATACATAAAAATCAATTGCCATCCGTTACTCTCGATAAAGTCGCTTGACCGATTTTGATGAATTTTTTGTATGTATTTGAGTGGATATGGTTTAAAACTCAATTGGACCGGTAGGTGGCGCTGTTATCGAGATCCAGAAATCTTAATAATAAAACTTGGCAGTTGAAACTTGGCTAGCGAATTGACGATCTCAGTACCAGACCTCTTGCGTCTTTGACGCTGCTATCGGAAAAGCATGATCTTTCTGTACAAAAATCAATTGATGTCTAGTCTCGCTAAAACTTACGAACGAGATAATTGCCCAACTAGATGATTTAATTTGGTTCAGTTTTAGTTTCACTATTTCTATATGGATTTCCTAACCTTTATTAGAATAAGGATGCTCATGTATTAAACACCAGGAACAAACATAAGCTTATACCAGTTTACCAGGTTATACCAGTTACTAGACTCCACAAAATTCATTTATGGGGCAATTTATACGCTTTTACAACAAAATCCTAGAAAATGTACAAAATTTGTCATTAAACAAGTTTAAATGTTTTATTAAAGAAAAATTGTACAAAAAGGGTTATTATAATATAAATGAATACATAAATAAAAATAACCCCTGGGTATCAGATGATCGCCACTATGTTGGTTCTATAAAAATTGATACAAAATTGTACAAAATAAATTTATTGTAAATTGAAATATGTTTAAAAAAAGTCCTGTTGTGTTTCTTACTGATTCTTCCCAGGACAGAGGTTTTTTTTTTGGGAACCACTGGTAAATAATAAATGACTTTCAATAAGTATTATACTATAATCTATATTTAATAAAATCAAGGTCGGGTTTGTCGCTATTGCCATGCTTGTTTGGCGGCTCCTATCCACCGTCAATTGTCAACAAACTTCAACGACTCCTACCTACTATGTTCCATATTGTATATTCTATACGTATTGTATTGGTTAAAAAAGTATTTTTCTTGAAATTGCTTAACTCTCACAGAATACCAGCGTAAAATAGCAGAGCACGCTTTACAGAATACCAGCGTGGAATAATAGCTTAATGTTGCTGTGTTTCGGATGGTGAATGTAAAGATCCGGAGACCCTTTTTACTGGAAACAAGGCACTCCAACTTAGTACTCAGGAGTGACAACGCATCTGTGTTTTGATTCCTTAACTAGATTTAACATCAAGTGGACTGTGTGCAACATGCAATACACTTAACCTTTTTTAAATTAATTATCTTTGACAGAAACAGTGTCATATTGTTTTGAGATATCAATAAGATGTCATTTATTTGATTGCTATATTTATAAATAAAACATCACACTGAATATATTATTTGAAAAGTATAAATGCGTACATAATAACGCATGGATTGTAAAACCTAGAAAGAGGATGCTCGGTGTTCCTCTGCATAAGTTTCATATTGAGGAAACGAAAAGTCAAAATCACCTACACAGACTTTCGTTTTTGCAAGCTGAAGTGAACATTAAAATGAAACTGGTTATATTTGTGGCAAGAGTGACAAGATTTAAAGTAGGCGTATATCCAAGAGTGGAGATCTTGTTCAGGACAAGGAAATGTAAGACAGCACATGGATAAATAAAGCGACGACGATGGCTGGTAGTATGCAATTGGATGCTGGAAGCAGAAGATCGCGCAAATTGTTTCACCTTGGGAGAATGTTCACCAAAAAAATGCCACAAGTTGATAATGACGAACTAAATTCTCCTGAGGAGAGCTGTAGCTCTTTCATGTGGCATGTTGTGATTTTAAAAATTTCATTAGTAGACTGCAGGAAAAAAAGAAGGTTTACCGTTCAACTATATGTTTTTAGATGTTACGCGATATCTTTGCTAATTAATAACACCTTTTAATATTTTTATAGGCTATTCCTTAAAGATGCTCCCACTGATATTCCAA